TTTGTCATGGTGACCTCACCCTGGTATCACAGAGTGACTGTGGGAAAGAAAGCAGCTGCCACTTCCTGGTTCCACTTTATTTATTCACTCTTCAGACATCCTTTCCCTCACCCCCTACTACATCCAATCCTTCCCAAATCAGGGCAAATTAAACCCACAAAATAGTTCTAAAGTCCACCTACCTCTGATCCTACACCAAGCCTCAGCCATCTATTGCTTAGATTTCTACAACCTCCCACCCCCACCCCAGGCCAGGTCAGGCCAGGCCAGGTTCAAATCCATTCTTCACTCAAAAGTCACAGCAATCTTTGACAAATTAGGTCACCCCACCCCTTGCTTTTAATACTCAATGGTTTCTGAATTCTTTTTTTTTTTCTTTCAGTAAGTGTTGAACCCAAGGCCTCACCTATGCCAGGAAAGCATTCTACCACTGAGATACAACCTCAGCCCTTTTTACTTTTCGAGACAGGATCTCACTAAGTTTCCTAGGCTGGTCTTAAACTTGTATCCTCCTTCTGCAGCTTCCTGAGTAGCCAGATTATAGCTTGTGCCACTACACCTGGACTATTCTTGTTAAATAGAGCCATGCCTTCCTCTTCTGTCTCATCTACACCATCTTCCGGCTTCCCAGGCACTCCTGGCCTAGTGCCTAGGAATACAGGCTGTTGCTCTTCCACCAGGCTCCTTTCCTTCATTCTTCACTAGAATTTATTCTTCAGGTATCTGCCCCCAACATGACTCCTCTCTCATTTTTTTTTGAGATGAGGTCTCATTGTGTTGCGCAGGCTGGCCTCACACTCCTGTGCTCAAATGATTCTCCTACCTCAGCTTTCCAAGGAGCTGGAACTACAGGCATGCCTACCACATCGGGCTTTTAAATGTCCTTTAAGGGGCTGGGGATTTAGCTCAGCGGCAAAGTGCCTGCCTGGCAAGCGCAAGGTCGTGAGTTCGGTTCCCGGTACCGGAGAAAAACCAAAAAAAAAAACCAAAAAAAAAAAAATAAAATACTCAAGTAACATTTCAAGTTTCTAATGCCTGAAAGCATAAAAACCAGAGCACTTAAGGCGTAGAACTCCAGCTGATGAAT